TCGGCACTCAGAGGCCACGGTGGAGCATCAGCATGTCCCTTATTAACGGTTCTTCAAGCTCGAACCGTTCTCCGTGGTGTATTCCAACAGCTGTGGGGAGACAGGGCGCTGGGACCTGCAGCCTGGCTCATCCCTTTCTCTGTGATGGTCTCTACATTTGGGTCATCAGCCTCAGGTCTATTTGGTACGAGCAGGTGAGCAGCACAATATATTGACTTTATCATATCAGTGGGTGGTTTTTTTTTAAGTTTTAGGTTTACTATTAGTGTTGGTAAAGGTTTTACGGCACTTGTAACACACAATAACTTAATAGTTTTTAGGGGTTTTGCAAGAGAGCAACAAGCACAAAAAAGGAGGCTGGATAAGGACGACAGATATTTTTTAATATGAAAGAAGGAGCAAACCGCACCAGAGTATCCGCCAACCACCCGCAGCGTGTTTTGCAAGAAGTGGTTTCTGGGGAGAGGGGAGAGTGCCTAAAGCAACGTACACTACACGTTACCTCAAACCAACTTTACATTATCGGACAAGTTTTGAGAGACCTAGGAGTTGCTGAAGTCGATCTTTCTCATGGCCACTTTCTGAGAAGGTCTTTGTTTTAGGGATTGTGCATATGCGTACATATTTAGGTGTAGTGCATTTTGGCTACCGTATCTTAATTCGCGCCCATTTTGGGCAAAATGGCATGTAGAGATTGAGTAAATATTGGCTAATCCTGTTTTACTGCGACAGTTTCCAGTTTTCAAATGAGAGTAGCGTTTGGAATTTTCTAAAGAAAACGCAATGGCAAAGAGACATGTTGACAGCTATACAAAAAGACAAGACGGTGTTCAAAAAGAAATAAAATTAAGTATCAATTATCCCCCTTTGTACTTGAAAGACAGAAATTTGGGGCACTCCTCTTTTTAGACTGACAAGACGGTAAGGTGAAGAACTATGGTTGTGAAAATGATAGATCTAGCATTTCTTTTAATTACACTTTATCCAAAACCAAAAATCATTAAGTTCTGAAGACAAAACTGCGTGTATAACCTCGAGTGACGGAACATATTCTATATCTATATATTTTATTTCAGGATCTGTTTTGCTGCTGCAAGAGACAAAAATTTTCCTGAGGTTATCTCATTTATTCAGGTGAACAGATACACGCCTTTCGTCGCCATGACATTTTTGGTAAGCAATTGTGATTTCTGAATGTGGTGGCATGTTTTCTGCCATAAGTTTGTTTTGTTTTAGAAAACGTTCTAGTATACGTTTTAAGGCACTTGTAACATAGGTAGGTCATATAAGTGCCAAAAATTAGAGGTAATGCAAAAGGGTAACAAATACAAAAAGGAGAGCTAAAGACGGTAGATGTTTGATAGAAAAGTAGGAGCAAACCACACCAGAGCACTCGCCAACCACTCGCTACCGTAATTTTGTGTAGAAGTTTATGCAAGAGTCCCTGCTTCTGCTGCTGCTACTGTAATCTTTACTTTTGGTTGCAGTGCTGATGGTTTCTGTTATTTATTTTTAGTCAGAGTTTTACGGCACTTGTCACTAAAATTGGCTCATACAAGAGCCGAAGATTAGAGGTGATACTACTCGAGAATAACATACAAAGAAAAGAAGGAGAAGAGACAAGGACGAATGTTCATTAAGAATAAATGAGGAGCAAGCAACGCCGGAGCACCGGCACACTATCCACGGTTTTAGTTGAGATGATGAGAGTCAACCTAGCACATGTACATTTGTATAGTGCTTGGAAAAATCACGTTGACACACAGAAAAAGAGAGGAAGTAATAGGGGTGGTGGTGGCGGTGCTGGAAGAAACAACAGCAGGAAATTATCAGGAACTGAGACAACACTACATAAGTAACAACAGAAACAGCATCGACATCAAAGACAAAAATAACAATCATAACAACACCACCACCACTACAAACAACAACAACAAGTACATCATCAACAACAACAACAACAACAACAACAACAACAACAACAACAACAACAACAGCAGCAACAACAACAACAACAGCCGCAGCAATGACACCTCCACCACCACAACCAACAGCAACATCAGGAACAACAACAAGAACAACAACAACATTGAAAGCAACAACGACAACAACTGTAGTCTCCACTATAATTCGCAAAAAGAGATTGTGCTTACATTTCTTCTTTATTGGTTTCAGATGATTGGGAGTCTTGTGTTTATTCTGCCGTCTGATCCAGGCCAACTGATCAACTTTGTCGGCTTCTTCTCCAACATCTTCCAAGGCCTTGTTTACGTCAGTCTGCTCATTTTACGGTGGAAAAAACCTGATGCCCCGCGAAGCTACAAGGTAGTTTGTTTATTTTTGTTGTTTTGTTGTTTTGTTGTTGTGTTGTTGTTGTTTTAAAGAGTTTTGCGGCATTTGCAACACAATGAGTTCAAATAAAAGCCGAAGATTAAAGGTATTACACGAGAGTAACAACCAAACAAAACAAAAAGAAGGAGGTGAAAAAATGGTGAAATGGTATGAGTTTAACGCCCCTATCAACAAAAGAAGGAGGAGAAATAAGGACGACAGATGATAGGAAAGAAGAAGCAAACCACACCAGAGCACCCTCCAACCCCCTACCAAGTAGAAGGGGGGGGTGGAATTGTTGTTTGGTAACTTGTGGATCTTGGATATGCCATACAAGTAGGGGCACGACACCTCCCCGTGTAGCATTCACTTGGACAAGTCCTTGGATATTCTCTGAGATATACGAGATGACGTATTTGGTCCTGAATGACTCTTATGGGAGAGGAAGTAGGGCCAGAGCTATGGGATTTACAGAGGACAGAAGATATTCGGAGACATCTCTGGCCAGCACTCAGGAACTTTTCGGAGACGCACTCCTGAACACTATTGCACTGCTTTTGGGGGGCAAACAGCGTATTATCTGCTGCAGATCACACCTATAGCCACTAAAACTGTCGCAAATCGATTATTTTCAAGAAAATTTCAAACTTAACTGCAAAATATCAAATTATAGATTAAAACAGGAGGGGGCAAGCCCCCCCCCCCCCCCCCCCCTGTAACCACCCGGATTTTTTTATTTGGTCTAGAGGCACAAAGCAATTTGATTGGTCTATCTCGGTCGGAGACGTCTCCGGATAGATACTGCGTTTATAGAGAGTAAGATTGTTCAACATGGAAGAGATGGTGACATTATTGTAGTCAGTGGTTTCTATGGCCACAATGGAGCCGCCCTTGCCAGCTTCACGGATAGTCCGATTGGTATTCACAATGATTTCACAAAGGGCTAATCTTTCTCCTCTGGACAATCATCATCATCAACAGCAGCAGCAGCAGCAACAGTATCATCATCATCATCATCATCATCATCATCATCATCATCATCATCATCATCATCATCATCATCAACATCATTATTATTACTATCATCATTATGAGTATTATTATTTTTATCATTATTATTATTATTACTATTATTATTATTATTATTATTATTATTATTATTATTATTATTATTATCATTGTCATTGTCACTATTACTATTATTATTATTATTATTATTATTATTATTATTATTATTATTATTATTATTATTATTATTATCATTATTATTATTATTACTATTATTATTATTATTACTATTATTATCATTATCATCATCATCGTCATCATCATTTTTATTATTATTGTTATTATCATTATTTTATTATTATCATTATTATTACTAGTACCATTATCAATATCATCATTATTATCGTAATCCTACCTGTCTGTACAGGCCCCAATCCCCGTGGCCGTCCTGATGGTTCTGCTGTCCATCTTCCTTGCCGTCCTACCTCTGATGAAGAACCCGCGGATTGAGCTGCTGTATGGTCTAGCCGGCATCCTGGCGGGTCTTGTCTTTTACGTGCCCTGTGTCGTTTACGACAAAGCTCTGCCTGGAACAGGTACTCCCTTCATTTGCATACAAATCTAACAAATTTAACTACATTTACACAATATATTGTGGAGTCCGCTTTAACCGAAATCAGTGGCACCGCCACATGTCGTGTTTTTTTTTGGGGGGGGGGGGGGTTGGGGGGGGTTTGGGGGGGGTTAGTTTAGTTGTGTGATCGGTTTAGAGAGGCAGCTCAAACAGAACAAAAATAATGGGGTATCTTATTTTCTGTCGGTTTACTGCTGTTTTCTTATCAACTATCGATCGGTTTAAGAAACTTCACTGTAAAAACTATTTTCTATTTGCCTATGGCTCGATCTGTAACTTTCACCTAACGAACTACTCTGGGGTATCCAATAAAACAGGTGGGGGTACGACTAATAGGGGCGGGGGGGTGGACAAGTGGTCCAAAATTAATAAACCATGAAGTTGAAATAAAAGGGGGGAGGGGATTGGCACCTTCAACTTCATACCCCCGTACTAGTAGGAACAAATCTGTTTTATTTCTCCTTCATTGAATAAAAGAACTAGATCTAGAGATCGTGATATTTTAGTGATTTTAGTAAGTTATTGTGACAACGTTTCTCATTTAGTAGGAACAAACCAGTTTCATTTAAGAAAAAAAAACACAATGGAAATAAACAATGTACAAAGGGGTTTTTTTAATGCACCGAAAATTGAGGTAGCCAACGTGGCACCGGTTCTAATACTGAGGGTAATTTGCCATTTACAAAATAAAAAATGAAGTTTCATTCAGATATCTAGATTCTAGATATAATGTTTCACATGATCGTCGGTCATGGCAAGCTGGAAAATAACAAACATGGGGGGGGGGGGGGGGGGAGCTTAAAAAAATGAAAATTAATAAGCGGGGGTGGAGGGGGGGGGGCGCTTATTCGATACCTCAGAGTAGAGCCGGAGGAATTGCTTCTGCCTCATGCTTAGAAAGCATTTTCACTTGAGCATGGTCACTACAATCTCACCTTTAGGAGGCCTCGTAGATCGTAGGGGTCAAACGAATACGATAATGTAAATGTGCCCCACTGCACGGCCGTGGCTAATGGGTTTCAAATAAGAGAACCCATTCGACGTGATGAAGATATGGCTGACGTTATAAATAAATTAACAGATCTAAGGTGGTACACAAATATTATGCCATCTGAAAGCACTCTCGTATAAATCTATGGATGAAATGGGTGGCCTCGAGAAGTGCCACGAACTAGCAGCTTACAGTAGGCCCTAAGTGTCTACAGGTTTGAGTGCTCTGACCCCTTGTATCGGACTTGTGAAGGAGGTCTGAATTTTCGCTATTGTTATCAGCACAATAGAAATCCGTCCGGGAACAGCGTCTATGCTTAGCGAATACCGTGTCTTGATGGTATTGATTATGATATTAATACTCAATATTTTTGTCGCATTATCGATATCCAATGTTTTTGACGTGTTTTGCGGCTTATAGAGCCTGCATATTAAGTCAGAATAATGAATTAAATCATAAACTTTATATCTTCCTCTCTTCATGTTTTAGACTTGAAACTGTGCTGGTAGCATTTTAAAACAAATTTTAATGCTCCTTTTAAAATCTTCTTGTGTCAGCCCCTAGGGATAGCAGGCAATTTACAAGCTCAGTCTTTCTTTCTCCTTAGTCGGTGATGAGGTCTGCTGGTGTGTGTGTGGAGGGGGTGGGGGTTATATTGTTGTCCGCATCTCCAGATTGGTCTATTTCTGCTCCCAGGTGCTCTAGGGCGGGGTCATATAATACAATGGTCAACAATGGATTCATTTATGCACCTTTCGGTCTCTTATGTCTTTTCATTAGGCAAACGACGTATGTTGAGTTGACAAATATAATATTATTCAGTCTCGGTAGGCGAGGAACTTCTTCATAAATGATTTAATCTATAGCTCAACAGATTGTATTTACAGAGGTATGTTCTAATACAAGCGCTTTTCGACGGATTCTATTCACTGCAAGATATAATCACCACTTAGAACTACACAGTATATCTTGTTTTCAAGCCTATATCGGGGAAGATTTCCACATAAATATAATGTCACGATTTTATCCGCGTAGAAAAAGAAGACTCCAAAATTACTACCTCCTGACAACTTTAACGTAATAATATCCCCAATTAAAGCACGCGACTTTACTCAGCGGAGAGTGAAAAATGAAAATTATCGATATCTTGGGAAAAGCAGTCATTTTGGAGGATTGATTCACATCGTGTGCCTTTTGCCGCAGAGGCAGTTTAGAGACCTCACATTTCTGACACTACACCGACAGGCACAGTTCAGTTGTGTCGATGGCCGCGAACTATAATACTGTTCATAACTTACAATCGTACTGTTTGAAGGCACGCTGGTTGAGGGGAGTGGAATGGAGATTACCAACTTGAGAAGTTATTGAGCTACTGCTTGCTCATTTCGCCTGGGTGAAATAAAAGGCAAAAACCTATTTGGAAAAAAAAAAGAAGTATTTCATAGCATAGAATTCCCCGCCCCTTCCCAAACCCTAGGTTGTGTGTGTGTGGGGGGGTGTGGGTGGGTGGGGGGGGCGGTGTTACAAAATATGGAAAGCATTACAAGCAAACACGTACTAATTGGTTCACTATATGGCGGATTGATTGATTGCCTAACTAATAGGCTGGAAAGTTACAGGACAGATATTGATTAAAGTGTCGTGAGAAAGTGACAAGAGAGTATAGAGAAATACCAGTCAGAAAAAAAAAGAAATTGTATGTCATCACGAACTGGTCAAGGTAACAATTATAGCTCAGCTATATTATCATTGACGTTGGAGTTTTGGGGGAGTTTGGTTTTGGCGTTGTTTTGCTTTGTTTTGTTTTGTTTTGCTTTGTTCTGTTTTGGTTTGGTTTTGCTTAATTTGGCTTAATTTGGTTTGGAGGGGGGGTGGGGGTGTGTTGTTGTTGTTTTTTAAATCTTGATTCTCTTTCCACAGATCGAATCACCATGTTCATTCAACTTGTGTGCAATGTCGCACCACCGCCTGCGTATGAAGACTAAGCTTCCCACGCCAGGACAACATCCCTTTAAGTGCCGCTGAATAAACCGAGCATTGGGTGAAACTCGGCAAATAGTCTTCGTAACAACTAACTTGGCCGAAGATAGAGGGTTTATTTGAGAAGAAGAGCTGTAAATTGATCTCATCGTGGCCAGATAGGGCTTGAAAAGGGCAAGCCTAAAATCAGAATTGACAAAGTTTGAGAAAAGAAGAAAGAGGGCAGGATTGAGAAAGGGGGGGGGGGTATAAAAGAAAGAAGGAGAAAGAAGGGGATAGATAGATAGAGGGGGAGAGAGAGGGGGAGGGGGAGAGAGAGAGAGAGAGAGAGAGAGAGAGAGAGAGAGAGAGAGAGAGAGAGAGAGAGGGAGAGGGGGGGAGAAAGAGAAGGGGGGCAGAGGGGGGAATGTAGAGAGAAAGAGACGAGGGTGGGGTAGCTTTATCATCGTTAGAGGTTAATTATTTGAAGTGTGGAACTTGTAGAGGTGAATGTCAGTTGTCGATCAGCTAATGTTTTAGTTTGTCTGGGGGGGGGCGATAAAATCATGCGGCACTTGCAACACAAATTGGTAATTTCTTTAATAAAAGAACCAAAGATTATAAGTGTTACTAGAGAGTAATTGCTTACAATAAAGGAGAGATAAGGACGGTAGATCTTTGATAAGAAAGAAGGAGCAAACTACATCAGAGCACCCGCCAAACAGCCTTCAGTCAGTCATTAGTTAATTCATGTTAAGTCAGTCAGACACAGTTATGTACATTTTGTGTACATGTGGTCAGGTGTTGACAATATTCTCAGTGCGTCAGTCTGCACCAGGAGCCCATTAGGCCTAACTATGGCACAGATCTGATTTATCTTTTCTTTTTCATTCTTATGTCAGTGACTGAGGAGGCAGGCGTGATGAATGTGTTAAAGCCGCCCCCCCCCCCTTCTCTCTCTCTCTCTCTCTCTCTCTCTCTCTCTCTCTCTCTCTCTCTCTCTCTCACTCTCTCTCTCTCACACTCTCTCTCTCTCTCTCTCTCTCTCTCTCTCTCTCTCTCTCTCTCTCTCTCTCTCTCTCCCTCGGGTTCTCGTCCACAAGCGCCCCCCCCCCCAGAATGAATTATTGAAAATTGAAAGATGCCCTTTGTAAATTGCCTAAAATAATATGTCACTGCCGATTCCCACTGCTCCAATACCCAATACCATTATTTGAGAGGCACGAATGATCTCAGGGACGTTCATGTCGAGACGATAAAGGTGACTCATTGAACAAAACAATAGATAATGTTATTATGCTTCTGCTTAGCAGATGAGTAGCACAATTCGTTATTGTGATATTATTACTATAGGTCTTGTGCTGAATCGTTCTTAAGAACAAGATTTCAATACCGGGACAAGGACGGTTGTTTAACTATTGAAATTTGATCATAATCGTTTTACGGCACTTGCAACAGAATTAGGTCTTTTAAACGCCGAAGATTTGAGGTATTACAAGAGAGTAACAAATACAAAAAAAGAAGGTGGAGAAATAAGGACGATAGATGTGTGATAGGAATAGAAGGAGCAAACAACACCACAGCATTAGCCAACCACTCCTACTAAAGATTGGAAGAGAATTCAAGGCTGATAGATAGATAGATAGATAGATAGATAGATAGATAGATAGATAGATAGATAGATAGAGCACAAAAATGGGCAAAGGACTTGAATTGGGATATTTTCCCAGACCGTGCACTGAGTGATAGTGCCGGATTAAGCATCCATTATTCAAACTGACGGTACCGTACTGCCTTTGCTTGACATTGTCATTGGTCTCACTTTATCCTCCTCGCAAATTTTAATAATTGTTTTTTTAATAAATAACTATAACAATCTCCGTGCATTGTGTTTCCTTATTCAGTATCAATATTTTCGTGCTGTTTGGTGTTCATTCCAAATTAATTAGTAAGGGAGATAGAAACGTGGGGCTTGTTTGCTTGTTGCTGGGTTTTTTGTTGTTTGTTTGCTTATTTGCTGGGGGGGGGGGGTTGTTTGTTCGTCTGTTTGTCTATTTGTTTTTAACTGATTGTTTGTTTGTTTGTTTGTGTGTTTGTTTGTTTGAGTAAAGGGAATTACATTGACACGATAACGGTCAATTAGCATTGAGAAAAGACAGACAAGTAGGAACAAAGGAAGGATTAGTAAAGAAATCGGAAGTACCAGTGGCCCCCTGCTACCACCCTCTCTAAGTCTGAGTATAGGGTGCTCGTCTGGTCTAGAGTTACGGTGTTGGCCTCTCGTTTAATAGGTCCCAGGTTCGAAACATGACAGCGATGGAAAGTATTATTCTCTAAAAATGTTCTTCCATCTCCTTTCCGCTCTTATCATGTTCTGTCGTCTGCTTTTGTCTCCACGTTCTGCTCTTCAGCTTTTCTACTGCTACTCCTTAATTCCTTCTTACTGCTGTCTTTCCGCCACACATTTGATCTTAGGGTATGTAAGATCTAACATCTTGCATTCTCGAATAAGGGCGGAAAAATTCGTATGACCTTATGCGAGCGCCGTTAAACAAAAACAAAACAAAAAACAGAAAAATCTGTGTATTTTGTTTGTTGTCTTTGTTGAGTGTAACACATGTCGTGCCTTGCAAGACAGAAAAGGGTCGTTTTGAAGTGAAGCCCCATATAAAGAATGACATCCCACCCAAGTGACAGTAGTTATGGCCAGGGGTTGTTTTTATTTTTTTTTAAATAAGGATAAGGGACTATTCAAAATCCCAAGGTTCACACCGAATTAGGACTATGTATGTTATCATACTGTCGGGTGTTTTTGTTTTTGTTTTGTTTGGTTTGGTTTGGTTTTGGGCTTTTTTTTTTATTTGTTTGGGTTTTTTTGTCTTTTTTTTTTTAGTTGTTGTTTTTTTTTGTGGG